GCACATGTAGTAATTGATGGTTTTGCCGCACAGAGCCGAGCTGATTACGCTATGATGATAATTAACTGCGTTTATAACCGTGTTATGGGCCTTCGCGGCGCGTTGATTAAAGCTCGAGTGACGCAACGCAAAAACGACCCCGACTTTTAACAAAATTTCTCCGGCTAGATATGGGATCCCGGCTAAAGGAGAAAAAATATATTTCATCTTTTTCGAGGAGAGCGCGCAAACCATTTGCTAGGAGTGAAGAGGAATTCGTCACGTCGTGCGATACGCTAAACTCGACGACGATATACCATATATCTCATATATACCTCACATCGACCATAGCTTTTACGGAATTCCACCTCGTGTTTAGAAATGTAGATGGGATAAGATGCTTAACTACGGAATATAGTTGCTCAATCCATTGGACTGAGGAAATTCTTGCGTGGAAATTCAAATGCCTATCTCATGAAATGTAAAATAGAAGTACTAAGGAATTCGACTTAAAAAAAGATTCTTAACGGAATATTTCGGATTTGGCTGGAAAAACTTTAAATACTCATCTTCATTTTGAAGTCGCTTCTTATTTAGCAAAGATAAAGTCGGAGGAAAGAGCTCCATCTGAGTTTTTGAGTCTTTAATATTTAATGTAGAAACCCTCAAATAAAAGTCGAGACAAATATGACGACAATATTTTGCTTTGTATTGTAGAATATATGGGAAGACATTTATTAAGCACTTAAAGAATGTAACAGTCATAAAGTATTACAAATTATTATTTGCATTATAGCAAAACATCTCGTCACCATGCAAGAAAAAATTTTATTAATTTATAAGAAAAATGCCCAAATGTTGTATAATCAGTTATAATGTTTCGCCGTGTTTATTTAATTCAAGATTGTTCTTAGGAAACAATTAAAAGTGATTAGATTTTTACTTGAGAGTCTTTAGTTTAATAATTGAATCTTTTGGTAAATAAGTAGGTTACCTAGTGAAAGCACATTTGAAAGACATATCTCGACAATACTAAGAATACGACAATAATAAAGAAATGTACGTATATAACTATATTTTTTACTCTAAACTAAATGGATATGCGATAGCATGAGACATTGGTGAGACCAACTGGCATGATTATTCGCTGTGGTTATTACACGTTGCTCTATTAATTTCTCCGGTTGTCTCCGCAGCAGACGATGACGTCTGAATCGGACACCGGTGTTCCGATTCCAACCGCATGTTGTCGCATACGTAATTCGCGCCTCGTGCACGCTGATGAGTCGCGTTGCTCTCTACCTGCCAACAGCGGCCTCCCCGAACTGCATAAATAATATCAAGACGCAGATGGTCTCTAACCTGTCGGTTCACGCGGCACTATACATTGATAGCATCACTTTGTCGATAAGTTTGTTGGAAGTTTTAAAAAGAACAAACGGGATAGAAGTAACGGAAGTTTAAAAGACTAAAGAAATAAATATATAAATGTACAGTTATTTCGAGTGTCGAAAACCGTACACATACATAGTTGACAATTTGTGTTAAATTTAACACATTCCATTGTGTCAAAGGGTCCACCGTAATTTTTGTATCAATTTAACGATTAGATGAATATCTATGTTAGAAATAATACAAATATTATATTTAAAAAATGACAAATATATTATATAATACTGACACAATTTATAAACAAATGATAACATATTTTTTTAAAGTAATTATATAACAATTAACAATAATAACAATTAATATTTATAACATATATGTTAAATAACAATATGTTAAATTAATACATTAAATTGTATTTTATTCGTTTATCTTAAAATTGTTTTAAAGCAATAGATTATTTCTACATTAGTTGTTCATTTATTTAATTTATTTAAATTGTTATTTTAATACTAAAAAATGTTGAATATCAATTTAACACACAATATTTGAATGAACACAATTACAGTATGTAAAATTAACACTCAGATACATTAAAAATTCAATATAAAAATTTTAGGACCGATTAATATAAATAAAAAATTTTTATTGTGTAAGAATATAGTATCTGTGAAAGAGAACATCAGAAAAAATTTTAGATAAGTATTCCGCATACAGATACATGAATTGAAGCGAAATCGAATTGAATGAAGTAATGAGATAAGAGAAAATGTGCATGGAAATATTACAAAAACACAACAGTGATTTATAGCAATGAGCCGAACGACTAATTGAAAATAATGAATATGTAGATAATGCAGAGAGAGAGAGAGAGAGAGAGAGAGAGAGAGAGAGAGAAAGAGAGAGGCTGATCTAGACAGAAATTTATTGTGTTCTGCGGAGAGTCTTTTGGTGCAGATAGAAATATAGATATACGAGTATAGTAATATATTATCTAAAATTAGCCGAAATAATAAGAGGAGAAATGTAAAATCACAAGTATCCTATTATAAAAACTATACTAATTGTAAGAAGACAAAAGTGCTTTCAATTTAGAAAATAAAAAGTTCTAGGCATTTCTTCTTTGAAGACACTTGCAAGTTTCTGCATATAATAAATTTCACAAATCTTTCTAATAAAAATGATTGATAGATATAATAATTCCTGTTTGGAATGTACCGATTTACCGAGGATAACAATAGTATTTGGTTCTTCCTAGTAAAATCATTGATTATCTTTTATATTCAAATTAAAGAAGATAAATGACGAATAAAGAGATGAGGGAGAACGAGGAAAAGTCTATTTGTGGCCTAAAACCTCATTAATAACGGCCAGAACTCGTGATGCTGCGTAATATGGCTGAAATGAGAAATGAGTAACGGGGTCATGCGCGCGTGGAGGACGCGCAAAAGTTCTGCATTCGCATAATCCTTTCCTAATGATGCGACCGTTTTTAGCTTTAATACGCGCACCGACACGCGCGGCAGTGATACGGCGGCGAATATCCGGACGCGTTTCTCTACGCGGCTCGCGTATTTCGTCGCGCGGATTAGCAGTCCGTGCTGAAACGTATGTAAAATCGCGTGTTATGTATGGCATACTTATACGCGAAAGGATAGACTCCACGTTCTCCAGATTTGCTTTGGACTGTCCGAAAGCAAATACCTGCCTTCATTCCAACTATGCTCATCCGTTTAGACTTCAACATTGAACAACTTGGCAATTAAAATCTCGCAAATTTCTGTTCCGCTCGAGAAGAGTGTTTGAAAATATGTTAATATTATACTTCCCCATATTCTCTTGAGAGTTTGTTAAACATTTTGTCGTTTATGTTGCACGAAAATAGTCTTGAAAGGTAAATATATCTCTTAGATTTAGTTTTCGATATCTGTCATATTACACACATATTGGTGATTCCTGAGTAATATATATGTAGCTTAATGCGGACATACGGAGTGCATCAGTGCCGACACAGGTCCGACGAGATGAGGCGAGTTTTCGAAATAAATCCTTCCGTACGCGTAAATCATGCGAACTCTTTTTTTTTCTCTCGAAACGCCGTTAATATTCCCGGCATTTTCGTGCGACTGTCACGCCAGACGATCGATTTCGCTGGATTTTTAGACTTCTGTTGACCCGGATTATTATCGCAAGAAAAATACTCTTATCAATCCGACGAATCGCGTTCCCGTGATCGTGCATGAATGATGAATCTCCAGATAAACGAGGCTGAACGCAATCCATCAGATCATCGGCAATCTTGATTGAATCTGCTTGATCCGATAGAAACACTCGCTTTGTACTGCGCGCGAGGATTGAAACTACGTGAAACGCGTAAAGATCGTGTGTTTAACCTTTCGCGAACCAGGTGAAAAAAATCAAGATAGCGAAGGATGGCATGTAGGATATCTCATATCTTATGGTATACTTCATCATAAGTATACTAATTTAGTACGACAGGCAACTCCAGCTATATAAAACGGTAACTTGCGCGCAATATTTTTTAAAAAGTTAGAAATTTACATCTCTCTTGCGAGGGTGTCACACCCTACCTAGACCGAAGATTAACAATATTATGGTAGTATCGATCGCTAGTCACAATGAGACACCTTAGCAAAGAGAGAAAGAAAAACATCACCAGAAAGAATTTCGTTAAATTCGGGACATGCGAGAGTATATACTCCAGCTTCACCTGATTGACATAGTGCCTATATCAGGACTAGTCTGGGTCGATATCGAATTGTTCTTGCCGAGGAGAACCAGCTTTCTTTCCGTTCGAAACGATGCCGAACGTCTTCGCTCATTTCGGAAATCAGCCATCCCGTTTAGGTTTTACGGCGTACTTGGGGCCACGGTGCGCTCGGACTCGTCCGGACGGCGTGCTCAGGCGTTTCCATCTCGAATAGAAGTTTTTACGCCCCGGGAGCTTATTATCCGCGGAACAGCCGCGGGCGCTCGTATTTCCGGATATAATTTAGCCAGTCGAGCGTTTCAGCTGCGCGGCAGGCTTAATTTCGCACCTACGTGCGCGATCGCGGCCAACGAAAACAGAAATAACTTCACCCTCACGTTACGAGAGAGAGAGAGAGAGAGAGAGAGAGAGAGAGAGAGAGAGAGAGAGAGAGAGAGAGAG